CATACCACAAATACGGCCATTACATAAAGTACTAACTGCCTCTTATAGCTCCTCTGTCTTTGTAATGAGGTCCTGGCTTCTTAGTGCTCTTCATCAGATTCCAGCAAACAGCCTCTCAGCAGCTCTTTCTCCCAAGTCTGTGAGAACACCTAGGTCACCTGAAACCTGCCAGGCCCAGACAACCGTTCTTCACCACTGCAGCCAGAAGCAGGATGACTCCAAGGAGAGAAAAGTAACCAAGCAGCACTTAAATAAAAGCACCAGCATATTTCACATGTTGTAGATTGCATTTGTCCCTGCTGTAGTGTCCTCTTCTGACACTTTCTAGGTTTAGTCTGCTCATTCCTACTGTGAAGTGTATATAACCTCTCAGTCTGTCAGAAAAACAAAATGCAGAAGTAAAGTATTTGTGACAGTTACAATCCTCCTTTTGGAACTCCAGGCGTGTGTGGTGGAATTCACCTCCCCACTATCAAGGCCTCTGTGCTTTTCCAATGTTTGAGAGGAGTTTCCACTTTCCTCCAACTTGGAAAGTCAGACTGGACTAGGAAGACCCACAGGAAGTGTAGTGTGTACATCAATATGGGAGGGGTCCTCTCCATTTTTGGGTGCCTGGAAGAAGCAACTCTCCAAATGAGAACTTCAGAGAAATAGGGAGATTGGTTTAAGGCAGAGGTTCTCAACCTGAGGGGTGCAAACCCCTGGGGTCAGGGTCAGAAATTGGTGTCGGAGGGCCATGACCCCCGTTCTTCTATATTACTAAAATGGGAGGGCATCCCAGATATGGAAGGGAACTGCTGCAGGGCCCCAGTATGGAAAAAGATGTGACCTGATGGTTCCAGAGATTGGTAGTTGGATAAGGAGCCTTTCACATGAAGCCTAGCAGTTACTGACAGACATTAGCATGTGTAGCGACTGTTTGGGGACACAGTGCAATCACTCAAACACTTTACACCAACACTAAATTCCCTTTAGAAAAAAAGAACAACAAAAAAAAACCCCTTCAGAGGAACAAACAGCTTCACTGTGAACAGAGAAAAACAGTATATGTTTTTCCAGATCCTCGAATGCTCCCCAGGTGTTTTTCTGCTTACTAAGAGCCTACTGGAACACAGATTAACCCAAGTTCTGGTTATAATCTTATTATGCTATTAACTCATTGTACTTTGCTATTAACTCATCATTGTACTTTGCATAAAAAGATAAATAGGCAGGAGAAGAAAACACAAACGAGTCCAAAACTTTTTTGTCACTTAAAACATGTAAACACAATTTTCCCCTTTTTATTTGCAAGTTATTTCCTGTCTTGAGCTAACACACACACCATAAACAAACTTCAGTACACCACCGTTTAAAGATAGGATGGTCTCGAATGCACACAAACAAATCAATAAAAATGGGGGAGCCTCTTTTTTAAGTGGAATCACATTCCAATATACAGCCTTGTGAACCAACATAATGAAAGCCAGCTACTCAGCTGTCAAGGCAAGAAAATCAGTTCTTTTTACATACCCTGTTGTCATTAAATCATGACTTATTTCCTAGCTTCCTGGGTTGCTTGGTAAGTGCTTAGCTCAAGAAAGTTACAACGCATCATAGCAATTTCACCAATTTTATCAAAGTAGGCATGTGAGCCAATGAGTAACTAAAGTTCGGGTCCAAAGTGATTTCTTGGGCTAACTTTGACCAACTTATGTGGCAAGAGTTTTTTTGTGAAAAGCTCATTAGCATGATGTCTGCTAAATAACTAACAAACATTTTAGACCAAGTTAGTTGAAACCCAGCAGTGTTTCACTATAAACAGACAGTCATTGTCCATACGGAATTCTACTGCACATTTCAAATCTCACTTTGGGAATAAACACAGTATTAATAGATCTGATTGTGTTATTCATTTTTATATTAAATGCAATTAAAAAAAACCTATTTTCTGGATTTACTTGATGCTGCCACTAAAATTTCAGTGATGCAAAATTCAGTGACGCTTCTGCTGCATAAAACTGAGGAAATTGTTGCAGTGTTTAGGTCTAGCTTGCTACTGAAGATATGGGGTCCAGATTACGAAACATTTTATACTATATTACATTGCTGCCTTTCCTGTTAAATACAGGATTTTGCCTCATGTTCCTTTCTATCAATAAAAATATACATCAAGGCTTCCTTACAATCAGAGAGAGTGTATGTGTACACACACACACACACACACACACACACACACACACACACTCGTTAGAAGACACCTAACCAACC